TGAAGCCTTAGGGTTTTGTTTATAATAGGTTTTTACTAATCTTAAAACAACTCTACTTCTAGTTGTCTAGTATAGTTAAAGTAGTTAATAAGATACATAATGAAAATAATTATTCTATTTCTAATTAGAACACAACTAGCCTAATTTCCTATACTAACTTAACTACTTAAGTTGGTAGTATTACACAAGAAGTCATATGTGCACGGCCCACAAGCATGTAGGCCTTGCTCGTCAAGCCCGTTAATTCCCTCTCCTTTGCATAGCCCATCATTTTGGGCCCCGTGCGGCCCAATCCTACTAGTGTCTTGTGCGCATGGCAACCCTTATTCGTTGTTGGCTCGATGATTGCATGGGCTAGGCTTGTCACGGATTTGCAAGCTGTGACACCTTCCCCAAGCCATTCTCTTGTCACTCAACTATCAATTTCTGAATATCTTCTTAATAACGTGATGATCCTATAATGCATGTTCACAAATTTCTACTTTTACCATTGTTTTGTTAATAGTATCAAGTTTTTAAGCTTGTGCCATAGTTAAATAACCGTAGGCCTTATTTCTCCAACTACCTTCCAATCACTCTTTACCAAGTTTTGGAAACTGCTATCCTCTAATCAATGATTGAAAATTTTGAGAGGTCGAAGACTTTAATTGATCACTTCTAAACCAATAATAACTAGATTATGATTGAAAAGGGAGCTAGTTAAGCATCTTTGAGATATATTCTGAAAGCAACCCAAGCACCTTGTATCAATTAAGAACCTATTCAATCTACTAAACATTGTCACATCTCTATCATTACTCTAATTGAGTTTGCTCCTAGTCATTAGAAATTTTACAAGCTCTAATTCCTTTATAAAGTCAATAAATTACGCATTAGGTCTCCAACTATTGGCCATCCAATCCTCTCATTTGTGCTCTTAAGAACATTAAAATCCCACCCCTTAATATACCATGAAACCTCAATGCTTTTGAGAACTTGAACAAAGTTATCCCATAGTCTTTTTCTTTGACTCTTATCATTCGGGGCATAAATGTTTTTGAAACCACACTTCATATTCATTTCCTTAATCCTCCCAATCAATAAAATATAGTGGTTCTCCATTATGTAGGTTTCTAATACAAAGAACGACTCTTGCAAAATAGACATTAACTCCCTCGATCACCCTTCTATTGCTGGAAATTGACCTTGAAAAAGGTGCTTACCCCACACTACTTCATATACTCTATTCGCATATTTGGTTGAGGGAATGACTTGATTCTTTAGAATGACTATTCTTCAAAATCTTCTAAAATCTTAAAATTCTTATTACCCACCCATTCTATGGTATTAACTATTCCACACCCATAGGAATAAAGTCCAAAATATTTTGACTAAAATGCTCTTACTTACTTTAGAAAATTACAAACCTAGACCTATAAATACTTTCTTTTCCGTCTCATGTTTCTTTTGTCTTTCTTTCTCTTCCCATTCTTGCCTTTCTCTTTCCTTCTCTAACATTTTTATATAAAATATTAATATTTTAAAATTATTCATATTTAAATCATTAAATTATTAATATTTTAAATTTTTAGTCAAAATATAAATTAAAAAAATGAAAAATGCAAATAGAGAAAAAGTAAAAAAATAAAAAATTATATTAATATTTTGATAATAAATTATTACATTATTAAAATTTTAAAGTTTTAACGAAAAAAAATTAAAAGATTAAAAAAGAAAAAATTTACTTAAATTGTAGCAAAAGGTAATTTTGTCTTTTGATATAAATTTTACTAAATTATATAAATAGTATTTTTATTTTTGATGAAAATAAATCTTATTATAAAAAAAAAGGTAATTCTGTCATTTTATTATTTATCTTTAACTATTCCATTGTAATTCTTATTCACCAAATATTGAAATGAATCATAAAAACAATTCTTATTATATTACATTCCATGAATCAACTATATAATAACTATTCTATTTTATTCTATTCTTACTTGATTCTATTTTCACATAATAATTATTCTATTTCATTTCATTCTATTCCACTAACTAAACATGTTATATAATCAAACTTTTTTTTTCATTTTTATTTCTTAGAGGAATGCCATGCTTGGTTTAATTTTCCAACCCAAACTTCAAACAGCTCTACTTTTTTCACCCTTGCACAGGGACCTAAAATTCCAAGTTAAGAGTAACATAAAAGGAATTATTACCCCCAATTTGCAGTGCTTTTCCCCATCATCATACTACTCGATCAAGGCCATCTCCAAGTTCCAATTCCGCAAAAGCCTTCAGCATCACTTCCTTGCTTCCTTGGAACTCCAATCCAAGCCTTCTGCCTCTTTTAAGATCACGACTTTTTTATGAAAGATATCTTAATTAATCCAATTGATCCTTCACTACTGGCCTTCCGATGTCATTTTGAAAGTTTTGAATACAATGCACTTGTGACTCGTGACCTGCGAGACGTATCGGACCTCCAAAAATACAATGCACTTCCATTATTATATCCTTCTCATTGTAATGAAATGGTTACTTTGTTGTTTTAAACTTGATAAGAAGACTTTTCAAAAGATATTGAGAAAAAGAAGAGAAATGTAATCGCTATTTTGTAATTTGTATTAAGAATGGTAACCCTCTACTTTCTTTCTTTCTTTTTGCCTCCTCTCTAATTTTGAACCCTAACCTTAGTTCCTGTTGAAGTACATAGGATACTTAAGGATAACATATAGGTGTTTGTTAAAGAACAAGTTTACTGAATATAACCTGCTATGAGAACTCCATTTGGTATTTCACTCAAGTGTCTATGAAAAATGTTCTGATGTGATAGGCATGCAACTAGTCCATAGACTTGAGACACCAGGTTATCTTGTATGGGGAATGACACACTTTGATTTCACCTCTATAGGTTTGGAAGCAACCAAATGTCTAAACAGGGTATTTTTGGGTATGCCATTAAGCATGTGAAGGTGAATGGGTGGTTAAGAGAGGATTTATCACCTTAAGTGCTATGAGGGGATGTATCTCACTTGTTCTCAATTCTTGATTAACTTGTATAAAGTCTTTGGCCAACGCATGACAAATTTGAAAAAAGTTAGTTTCCTAAATTCATAAGGTTAGTCATGAATTATTAGAACTAATATGGAATGTCATAAGTAGACACCAAGTCATGCTTAATGACATATCCGGGATATTTGATGAAAGGACCATATTGCACTGAAAGGCTTATCACTGAAGTGCTTTGTCAAATTCTTTAATTGAATCTCTAACATTTAGGTGGTCATGATGTATTACTAGATGCCGTTTATGATTTGACAAATCCTAAAAGTGAAAAAGCAAATATTTTAGATTTAATTGACTCTTGATTATAATATCTAGAGCAAGGTATGTACCTCTTAAACTTATGAGTGTTCATAATTAATTTGAAAGTTATATGAAAAACACAAACATTGATCTTTGTAAGATTCGACTGTTTTTCTGATTAAATATTATTTTATTTTTTCACTACGTTATATTTTAATTTTTGATTATTTTCTTATTTGAATACTAGGTCGAATCCCAGCACTCGCCTTGATGATGAATTCATACCTAAAAGAACCGTAGCGTTTACCGGTTTTGATTCTTTTCAAAGCTACGAAAACATCCCTTACCCTACTACACTGTTCAAATATCTTCTTCAACCATCTCCAGTGGATCATATCAGGACTGTTTTTCACCAAAATGGACATTATGTTGCCATTAAAATATAATCTTATTGCTCAGATTACAGTGGATTAACTACCTAAGACCCGATATTAAAAGAGGAAAGTTCAATTTACAAGAAGAACAAGCCATCAAAAGACAAAAGGTTTTTTTTTTCACAATTAAAGCAACACAAAAAAAAAAAGAATTAATTGCTATATGTTCAATAAGATATGTAACAGAAGGAAAAAAAAATAAAAAACATGATCATATCTAAATATAAAGAAACATTTAGAAAAATTAGATATTATTAGATATGTACTTGTTGAATAACATAGTAAAGTAATATTATAAAATTATGATTCATACACATATATATACAAAATTAATATGCGTAGAATATATATAAAACTTTTACTAGTGTGCTATATGCTTACAACTTTTCCAATTAGGTTTAAATTATTGACTTATCTAAAATTAATGTCTGTAGATTGGAGATATCAAATTTAAAACAGGGAGGTTAACTTCTTTGCGGATTCTTTGATAAAGATAGAAATTGATCAACATTGATTAGTGCCTTATTTTCTTATCTTGTCTAAAAAATAGGGTTCGAATTCTCCCCTTCTTAATCATAAAAAAATAAAAATAAAAATTGACCAGTCTACCATATTTAATGCTCGTTTGGTGATGGAATTCAAGCTTTTTCCCTTTTACTTCTTTACGAGAGGAGCATATGCCTTCACACTCATAGATGACCTGTTTATCCTCTTGTGATTATCGCCCATGGTTTCATGACTCTGTTGGGTGCTTTTCACGACTTGTTGAAATTAATGTCTCCATGGATGCCTATGACTCTATGACTCTGTTGGGTGCTTTCAGCCACTTGTTGAAATGCCTCCATGGAGATAATCTTCTGATCCATGAAAGAACGCTTCAATCACTTCTATTTCTTTGTCTTGGGCTATCATTACATGTGTATCTTCTACTTTAAGCCCCTGAGATTGTTTTTGAGAGGGATAACACCACTTTGTTCCTTTGTACGGGGTTTCTTTACATGTATATCCTTTATTTCATATCCTTGAGATTACTTTTCAAAGGATGATTTGTTGTTCCCTATTTCTTTTTTAATACTTTTTATGTAAAATCATTTTTGCAAGTTTCTTTCAATGACAAGTACAAATCATCAAAGCAAGGAAGCTGGATATCAGTTTCCATCGTCGTCCATAAGTGGGACCTTTCAATAATTTCACATGCAAGATTTTTATACAACTTGCTTCTATACCATAATGAATTGTTGTTTACAAGTCGTATAAACGTCCAACAACAGTACATTTATTGACTTCGCCTAACTCAAAATTCTTCACTCCCTCTCTCTTTTCTCTCTGTAAGGTGTCGCATAATATTCTTCCTCTTGCTTTGTTTCATTTCATGGAAACTTCCGACTTTCATATTCAAATATCTTTATTAAAAACCATTCTTCCTGGCCATTTTCTTTTCCATTCAAATCAAGCAAGAAGCTAATGTATTCCTCTTCAACATCCAAGATGTTCTTTCCTCGACTTGTTTTCTCTTCAATATTCATTGTGTGTTGCCTTGCAACTTCCACATTCGGAGCTACGCTTGCAAAGGATGAAGGTAATCAATAATCTAAAGAGAACTTTGGCTTAATTCTTTTTGTAATTTGCACCCAATGTTCTTTCACTTTGTTTGAACGTTTTTGTTATTGAATACTACTTAATAATGTTATATATGTATAGTGGAAGCCTTGAAAAGCATAGGTGAGACGCTAGGAAAGAGAAATTGGGATTTTGGCATCGATCCATGTAGTCGACCCAGCAGCTGGGAAGAGGTCGTACCACCCAAATCTTATTATGCTAATAATGTCACCTGTGATTGCACTTTCTCCGGTAACACCACTTGCCATGTTATCAGCATGTAAGCATCTCCCTCTCTGTCTCTTAAAATGGATTTTTGGTCATCGGAGTTTATCTTTTAAACTCTAAACTCACTCAATATGTTCATGGATTATCCATATAATTGAAGCAGTAATCATTAGTTATTAATTTAAATTGTAATCGAACAAAATCGAATTTTTTTTCTTTTATAAGTTAGCAGGAAGATGCAGATGCAAGCAATTACCATGCATAAATGAAACATACCCAATTATTTAATTAAACAAAATTAATTACAAGTTAATTAGAACCTCAAAGAAAGAATTACTATAAGTTGACGGTTCAAACAATCAACAAGTGCAATAGTCTTCAAAGAAATAGTGGGAAGTCGGAAAAAGAAAGATTAGCATCGTGGCAAAAAGTCTCAACATAAACCAAAGAAAAGGTCTAACAAGCTAGTCGGCAATGCTGTGTCAACCGGTTAACTTGCTATTATAGACTTTAGCAATAGCAACCAACAAGCTGTCGAGTGTTGACTGATGACAGATAGCCAATCGAACATTGAATCGGAAAGTGGGACCAACTTTATGTTTGCGGGCCACCCACAAGTTGTATTTTCATGGTAGTGAAAGAACAAAGGGTCATCCACAGTCGAATATAGAAGGCTGATCTGCCCTCTCTCTCTCTCTAGCATTTAAACATGGATAAGCCGTTTTCTTACAATTATTAATGAGATGAGACATGACAGTATGTTGAGAAAATAATATAATAATTTATGTAATTCTTTTGTTAATAAGGACAGAATAATTTTCATAGTTAGGACTAACAAAACGAAAGCACATATAACATATGTTTTGGTTGAATAAGCTGTTATAATGTAAAGGTTATTCACATAAAACAATAGTACTAATGGTTTTAATAATGAAGAATTATTTATTTATTTTCAACTCTTTGGAAATTAATGTTGATATGTTAACTAATAACTAGTACTAATATATAATTTTAAGCATCATTAACCCTGACCTTGGTTGCTGTTGAAACAGAGAGCTCAAGGGACAAAATCTTACTGGTACTCTTCCACCAGAATTAGTCAGGTTCCCTTACCTCCAAAAGATGTAAGTACCTTAACTTTCAAACTTCTTTCATGATAGCTTAGCACATTATCTTTACTTCAATTCAATATATAGTAAATTTTATTTCCTTCATGACTGACTTTGTTGTAACTCTTCTTACAGTGATCTCACTCGCAACTATCTTAGTGGCCCCATTCCTCCAGCATGGGGTTCTATGCAACTGACTGATATGTATGCTTTCTTTTAACATAACATATATATATATATATATATATCAATCAATCAAGTATATGTTTTGGTAGATGTAACAAATGTATCTTATTATTCACACAAAAAAAAAATGTATGTTATTGCAGTTCCCTTCTTGGAAATCGTTTAACAGGTTCAATCCCAAAAGAGCTGGCAAACTTAAGTAATCTTACCAGCTTGTGAGTTGGTTTGGTTTGTAGCAAGTTCTAGTATATATTTCTCATTTCATTATGACAACTTTATAGTATATTTGTTATGAATGTCTAATGAATCTATTTTCTTTTATTGAAAAAATGTGTAGAGTCCTTGAGCAAAATAACTTTGTGGGGACTTTGCCTCCAGCACTATGGAATCTACACAACATTGAAAGGATGTGAGGGTCTCTTCCTTTTTAAATCTTAGCACATTTCGTTCTTGTATATGTAGTATGAATTTATTTAAATCTTTTTCTTCATCAACTTGGTCACTATTCAATTTGATCTCTTCAACCATTGCCTCTTAAAAACCTTGAGGGCGTGGCACTTGATTCATTGGACAAGAGTCTTAGATACATGTATGTGTCCAATATAAGTACATTCTTATACTTGGACGGTTAGTTTTTTTTTTTTTAGTAAAGATAGGATCACACAGCATATCAGTAAACAAGTAGTTAAGCTTGATGAACAAAGTAAAAATATTTGTTCTAAACAATAGACTATTGTTGGTTCTGATATGCATTGACTTAGAAAATATACATAGCAAAGACTTAACAAGCAAGGTTTGAAAAGAAGCTAGGCACAAGATTACACACTAATCATCACATAAGTCATTCACTAGGTGCATAGCTATCATAATTTGACAATAAGCTAGTTGTCTTAATACAAAAATAGTCACACATAGTCCTAAGGTTAATATAGCATGAACTGATGTGGTTTTCAATGCAAGTCCTATTCCAACACCCCTCCTTAGGACTTGCTTTACAAACCCCTAGCATCAATCTAAGGTTTTCAAACCTCTGCTTTGCTATGGTTTAGTGAAAATATCAACAACTTGATCATTAGAACTGCAATAGCTGCACTTAAGTTCACCATTGCTTTCTATTTCACGTATAGCATGGAACTTGACTTTAATTTGTTTTGCTTTGCCATGGTTAATAGGATTCTTAGCAATAGAAATGGTACTATTATTATCCAAAAATAACTCAATCGCTCTTGTCTGTTCAAAGCTTAAAATCTTGAAGTAATTTTCTGAGCCATATTGCTTGATTAGTGGTAGCTACAGCAGCAATATACTCTACTTAAGTTGTTAATTGAGCTACAACATCTCGTTTCCTAGAATTCCAACTAAAAGCAGCATTCCTAATGAAAAAAACATAACCTGAAGTGCTTTTACAATATGTAGAGTCCCTTGGATAATCACTATTACTGAAACCATGTAGTTGAACTTTAGAAATTCTTTTGTAACTCATACCAAAGTCTAAAGTGCCTTTCAAGTCCTTAAAACTCTTTTGAAAGCTTTGAAATGCTGAATTGAAGGAGTTCGCATGAATCTTGAAAGGCAACTTACTGAGAACATTATGTTTGATCGAGTGCCACATACATACAATAAACTCCTTATCAGGCTCTTATATAATAGAGGCTTAGTAAACTTAGGAAGATCACCAACATCAACTTTGGTATTCACAATCATAGGACAACCAACAGGTTTGCAACTCAACATATTAAACTTCTTAAGAATCTAAAAAATGTAGTTTTCTGGGAAAGAAAAATACCTTGCAAAATCTGATCAACTTGGTATTTAAGGTAAAACTTCATTTTTCCCAATCATTCCTTTCAAATTCAGATTTCATTGCATTCTTGAACTGCATGATGAACTTTCTTTTAGAACCTGTAATAAATAGGTCATCTACATATAATGATACTATCAATTTCACTATTTCATTGGCTTGTAACACATACAAGGTAGGTTTATTCATGCTTCTAGAAAACTTTTTTGAGGTCAGGTAGGTGTCAATTTTACTATACCAAGCTTTGGGGGCTTGTTTGAGCCCATATAGAGCTTTATGTAGTTTGTATACGAGGTTGACCTTGTCCTTGACTTTTAGTCTTTCAAGTATTTCAACAAAAATATCGTCATTTAAGTCTTCATTCAAGAATGCTAACTTGATGTCTAGATGATGGACATCTCAACCAAAGCCTCTTGCAATTGAAGTGAGCAACCTGATTAATTGTCTCAAATCTGGCAACAAGTGCAAAGGTTTCAGTATAGTCAATACTTAGCATTTGAGCATACCCTTTCACAACCAATCTAGCCTTGAGTTTATTGATTGAACCATTTGCACCGTCCTTGGTTCTAAAAATCCACTTAGTTCTGATGAGATTCATGGAGTCTGCCCTTTCCACTAAGGACCAAGTTTTGTTTTTATTGATCATTTTCAGCTCTTCCTGTATTGCAGCTTGCCAATGAGCTTGATCTTTGGCTTCATAATAATATGTAGGATCTAAGTAGCCATATTGGATCTGTTATGGATGTTTTTCAAACTCTTGGAACCTTTGACAACAAATTCGAAGTCATCAAGATCACAATCAGGTTCATAAATGACTTCTAGCAATGACCTTGAACCAAGTATTCTGTCATCAGATGTCTCAACCAGGTTCGACTGCCAATTCTACCTTGCATTTTCAGCAAATGTGACATCTCTTACAACTTGAACCTTTTTGAAGTTTGCATTGCAGACTCTATAGCCCTTGGCTTGCAAACTGCAGATCCTAAGAATACTCCAAGCTCTGCTTTAGGATCCAATTTGGTTCTTTTTGCCTTTGGTACATGAATGTAGCAAATGCTACCAAATATTTTGAGATGTTCCATTACTGGTTTGACATAGTGCCGAGCTTCATATGGTGTCACTTTGCTCAATACCCATGTTGGAAGTATGTTTTGCAAATAAATTGTAGTGCTATTAGCTTCAACCTAAAAAACTTGGGCATTGATTTTTCAAATAGCAAGCACCCAGTCATTCAATACTGTCCTATTCTTTTCTTTCACAAACCCCACTTTGTTGATGTGGATAGGGAATACTGAATTGATATTTAATACCAGCAGTAGATAAAACCCTTCACTCTCATTTAAAGTAAAACCCCTCACTCTCATTTGAAGTGAACTCCCCTCTATTGTCATTTTTCAAACATTTTACCTTGCACCTTGATTCAAGCTCATCTGAAGCTTTTGAATGTCTTAAATATGCTGAATACATCATATTTGTGCTTGAGGAAATAAATCCAAGTAGACCATGAGTTGTTATCAATAAACAATAGGAAATACTTACTAGCATTCAAAGACTCAATGCTCATAAGACCATAAACATTTGAATGTACCAGTTCTAGCTTCTCTATGGCTCTTTTAGTGCTTGAAGTTGGAAAAGGCAACCTGGTTTGCTTTCTTAATTCAAAAGTTTCACAGATATCAGTGTGCACATCAACAAAGGGCATTTTAGTCACAAATTTTCCAATACTGAGAAACTTCATGGTTAATTGCAATGTCCCAAACCTTTATGCTATAGCTCAAACCCTTTAGCATTTAGCTTTTCAACTACACTAAGGCTTAAGTGCCGCATATCCAAAGGAAAACATTTATTTCTCATCTTCACTATCATTAAAACACAACCAGAGGGCTCAATAATGGTGCGTGCTTTGTTCTTGAACAACAAAGTGTAGTCATTATCAATCATTTGACCTGTTCTCAATAAATTCTAACTAGCTTTAGGTACCAAATAAACATCAGTGACATACTTGGTTCCAATTGGTGTTGTGACAACTATTATGCCTTTTCCAATAGCATCCAAGTAATCACCATTACGAATTTCGATCTTAGTACGCAAACGTTGATCAATGGAAGAACATAAGGATGGATTTGGAGTTATATGACTTGAGCAGCTATTGTCTATTAACCAACTATGATCTAACTTTCTTATTTTGCCCTCAGATGCCATGAACAATAATTTTTCAGTAGGTTCAGCTTTTTTTGAGACTTGAGCTTGCTGATTTGGCACATTTCCCTTATTCTTACATACGTTTTTCACATGACCAAGTTGATTGCACTTCTTACACTTAACATTTGGCCTAAACTAACAGTATTTTTCAACATGGTTAGTCTTTTGCAGAAAGAACACATTGCATTTTTGGTTTTTTACCATTGTGTCTTTGTTTTGAAGTAGAAGCCTTCCCTTTGTCTTTCTTTTCAATTAGAAACTTTCTGCAGGAGTTATGGAGAACATTCTTCTCTTTAAACCTTGCTTGTAATGTTCTCAATGTGCTCTCTTCAAGTTTGATCTACCTTCTTGCTTCAGAAGCTTGAAGAGCATTAACTAACTCTTGCAAGGTCATCATGTTGAGGTATTTTGATTACTCAAAGGTTGCAATTTTTTACTCAAATCTCTCTTGAATACTAATCATCACCTTTTTCCCCAATTCTTGAATCTAACAACTAAGCTCCTAAAGCCTAACTTGATTAACTATCTTTATGAGCTTATCCACATAATCCTTCATTATCTCATCCTCCTTCATCTTTAGCACTTCAAATTGTCTCATTAGGTTCAAAATCTGCATCTTTCTAGTTTGTCTAACCCTTGGAACTCCTCCTTGACCTTATCCCAAGCTTCCCTAGTTGTTTCACAAGGCATGATTCTTGTGAATATTGCATCAGTCACAGTAATGTGAATATAAGACAGTGTCTTGAATTTTTTGGCCACTTCTTCACTATGCTGTCTCATTTGATTTATGGTGAGATTGGCTCTTAGTGCAGGATGCTCTCTTCCTTACTCAACTACCTCCCAAAGGTTGAAAGCTTGAAGGAAGGCTTTCATTTTAACCGCCCAAATAGCATAGTTGTCACCATTGCAGACTGATGGTGAAAGGGATGAAGTGCTGCCATTCGAAGCATGCTTTGATGAAGGAGTGTTTTTTATTTTTTTTTCTTTGTGAAGGTTTTCAAGTTTGCTAATTGGCTTCTTAGACTATGAAAGCTCTGATAGCATGTTGTTTTTTAAGTAAAGATAGGATGAACACAGCATATCAGTGAATAAGTAGCTAAGCTTGAGGGACAGAGTAAGTAAAAATATTTGTTCTAAACAATAGGGTTTGGCTAATTCTGATATACATTCACTTAGAAAATATGTGTAGCTTTGAACAATAGCTAGGGACAAGATTATATGTTTGTAGTTACATAAGTCATTCACTAGATGCATAACTATCATAATTTAACACTAAACTAGCTATCCTAATAAAAAACAATAACACATAATCCTAAGGATAATAGCATGAACTGATGTGGTTTTCAATGCAAGTTCTATTTCAAAAGTTAGACCTCCATATAATGTCCAACGTGTATGTGTTGTACGTGGGTATTTTAAAGAAATAAAAAGTGGCAACAACATAAGCTATTAGGCTTTAGGTGAATGCATCTTCAACCATGTAATGATTGTTTGGCAGTAAGGATACACTCCTAGTAACAATCATCATAAGAAGCATAAAATCAACTAATTAGACTCTTCCTGCAAACTAAGAAAGAAAAATGCCCAAATGTTATGTTGTCTGCCAAGGCATTCACAATCTTTGAGGAAATTAAAGGTATATCTCCTGATATCTAAGTTGCAACATTTTTTCTTCACAAAAAAAAAAACAAAGAAATTTTGAATAATTTCCATCCATCTTCATATCCTTGAATGATTGTTTTTCTTGTGTTTGATTTAATATCTGCTTCCTCTTGGTTCTGTAGGCTTCTTAATTCCAACAATTTTAGTGGAGAGTTGCCTGCAGAATTTGCCAGGCTGACTACATTGAAGGAGTTGTAAGCTTCTAATTTTCTTCTGTATATGTTATCAGAAATTTCATTTTTATAATTTTACACACTCAAAATTGATTACAGTCTACTATGCTAGTTATGCTTATTTTTTAATTTCTCAACAGTCGGATTAGTGACAACAACTTCACAGGAAAGATTCCAGACTTCATATTCCAGAATTGGACAAAACTTGAACAAATGTGAGAGCTCTAATTAATTTGTGTGATACATTTTTAAGTGTAATTTTTGTCATTAATTAGAAATATTTGTGCTTTATCAATCATTTAAATAAATAATGACAGATTCATCGAGGGAAGTGGTTTGAGTGGGCCAATTCCAGACATTGGGGCTTTAGAAAATTTAGAATACATGTAAGAACAGATCTTAAATTTCAAAAATTTCAATTTATAAACTTGGGACATTATGGTTGTATGAACATGTTTGTTGTTTGTTGAATATTGGGTTTGCAGGATAATTAGTGACTTGAATGGAGCTGAGGCAACTTTTCCACAACTTGGTAAATTGCCTAAGTTGGAAAGACTGTAAGTAAAACTCTGCAATAAAGGCAGAGACTGATTTAAGTTCTGAGATTTTTTTTTTCTCTAACACAAATAATGGATATTTCTGATTGCATGACAGGATGTTGAGGAGTTGCAATCTCAATGGAGAGTTACCGGATAATCTTAGTACAGTGACAACATTAAAGATTTTGTGAGTAATAGGCTTGGTTTCTTTCCTTAAAACAAGAAAAGCTCCTTCAATTTATGTTTCAGCATATAACTTTCTATTTGAAGAACTGTGATGTTCTTCTATTGGCTAATGTTATGTTATGATGACATAAAAAGGTATAGGCACGAATAATTCAGCTTGACTACTCGCTCCACAACATAATCTTGCTGCTAGTAGAATATGGAAAATATCCTTTGCTCATGGCTCAAATTTAATTCTTTTGTTACTATATTTAGTTCCTCAAAGACAAATACAGAGCTTTCATCTTGCATATTTGTGTGTGCATTTCAAAGGGCATCTAAAAAGTTCATTTAGTTTTAAGTTTTAACTTGTCTTAGGACATAATTTACTTGTGAATTTTGATGCATTGTTTTTATTATTTTTTATGCCTTTTTTTTCCTATCTTGATTATTCAAGATATTTAATTGATAAAATTTTCTGAGACGATGTGGTTTTAATGCCCCTTTATAAATATTCATGCAGAGATCTCAGCTTTAACAGACTCAGTGGAAAAATTCCAACTAAACTTTCTGCTCTTTCAAATCTGGATCAATTGTAAGGATTTGAGTTTTTAGTGTAAATTTTCTTGTTTTGGTTTTTTTTTGGCATGCAGCTGGGTTTTGCAGGAGCTGAGGTTAGAACCCCAGCCCTGCAGGACTTCCAGTTCCTAAGAGGGTTGGTGTCTTTATCAAAGGGCAACCACAATTTTTAGTGGTAGAAGACAGAACTTAAACTGATTCAATGAATATAATTATCTAATCAGCCTCAAAGGTTTCAGTTCAGCAATCTAGAAACATGTCGGCCATGCAATAGATATTCTAAAGTTACTCGTTCCTCTGTCAGAGGATTGATAACTGTACTTCTTTCATTATCCTCAGATTTGTCATCACAACTGATAAATTTTCCTGATAAGTATTTTTAGTTTAGTGCAGAATACCTAATTGTAGTAACTTCATAATTTCTTTCATCAGGTTTTTAAATGGAAACATGTTCACTGGAGAAGTCCCTGGATGGATACTGAACACAAAAGAAAAAATGTAAGATTCTCTTGCATATGTTCTATGACATTTTATGCTCAAGAAGTGTAATATTCTTCAATTAACCAAAGAAGTTTGATTCTTCGATTTACAACTGAAACTTGGATAGGTAAGTGATATGGCATAAAGTTTAACTTGCATAATCCTGCTTTAGCTATGGCTGTGGCCTTAAAAAATTGATTGGACAAAGGAAATTTGAATATCAGCTAATTGTATTTGCAACTTAATCAAAGAGAAAGTCATAGTTGAATCATTTAATCAATAACCATTTAATGAATCTAAATAGAGCCAGGTCCCAAAGGTTAATTCAGGAGTTGTGACAAAGGAATAGGTAAAAAGGTCGATGATAAAGAAAAAAAAAAAAGGAGTGGTTGTTGTGTGAAAAGAAGGAATTGGGGAAAAGACATGTTAGGGATAGAGAATTAAGTGGACCAAATAAGATAGAGGGATTCAGGAACGTAGTATGATGATAGGATAAGGGTGGGGCATGATTTAATCTCAGTGGGGGTTGAGGAGTGGAAAGAGTGAGGTAGGGGATTTGGAGAGTGAGTCTTTGTGGTTTGGAGAAATTTGTTTTGTGATGAAAGTATTGGCTAATTTTATTTTTGGGATTGATGCTTTTGTGTTGCTCTGATTGAGAGACAAGTTGACTAAAAGATAGTGGCGGTAAACGGTGGGACTTATGTGTCAAGTACTGGGGTGAGGGATAAGTCATATGTTGTGGGTTGTCATGGAGTCTGCAATAGGCTTCTTTGATCGGGTTAGAGGGATTAAAGTGGTGATCTTTCTGCAATTCTGGTAATGGAATGGGGATGTTCATCTTTGGAATGTCTAAGGTTGTGTCCTGATGATTTCTAGAACCTGTTGATTATGAGAGACGAATTTACAGCTGGTTTCGTGGGGTAGAGTCATGAGTATGGGGCCATGCCGAGTCTGCAAGGAGATCTGATTGCTTGACTCTGTAGGGCAGCGAGGTTTGCTTGAGTATTTTTTGAAAGGGTGTATTGTAGTGATCACGGTTCTGAAAATGTATGATTGGTTGAAATTATGTGAATAGGACTGTTTGAAGGTCAAACGGAATTGCTGAAGTTAGGCCTTCTAGGTTAACCAGTTTGTTCTTTTTTTTAATGTTTGTTGTCTTTATTGATGTGGTCTTGGAAGATATATGTGATATCCAACATCTCACATCTAATGTAAATGTGATTGTTAAGACTTATATAACAATTCAAATAACTTGAGTTTAAACTTTTGAGAGCCATGTGGTTTAAGTGCAAAGAGCTGTTGAACCAGTAATTGGACTTGGGTCGTTACAAATAGTATCAGAATTTACGTCACCTATATAATGTGTGGCCTTGATGTGAGCTTGCGCCACCTATATAATGTGTGGCTTTGATGTTCTCATTAAGGATTTGAGAGCTTGCGTCACCTATATAATGTGTGGCCTTAATGATACCCAACATCTCACATCTGATCTGATGCGAATGTGATTGAGGGTCATGTGGTTCAAGCTTAAAGATGATTGGACTTGGATCGTTACAAGATATGGTTGGACTTAGATCGTTACAAGATAGAATGTTGCCATGTTATCTTTTGAAAGGATTTAATAAGAGGATTTAATAAGCTGTTTGGGCTTGAAAGGATTTAATAAGAGGATTTAATAAGTTGTTTTAACTGCTGGATCAGGACCAGTGGTTGGACTTGAATCGTTACAAGATATGGTTGGACTTAAATCATTACAAGAAAGAATGCTGCCATGTTATCTTTTGAAAGGATTTAATTTTTGCCCATACCAGATTCGTCATACCACCAAAAGTCTTCTGCCAAACAGCCTAAAGACTTGCCATGGCATAACTGGTAGTGGATGAATAAATCGTTGCTTTTCAAAAAAAAAAAAAAAACCATTTAATGAAACTTATAGTTTGAACAATTCTATTTGTAGGGATGTTTCATATAACAACTTCACAAGCACAGGTGCATCAGGCTGTGAACACAATAGTGTGTAAGAATGCTCTCAACTTAGTTTGTTTTTCTTTGTGAGTGGATCTTTGGTATATGCTTTTTATAATATGTCCTTTGTCTGTAGGAACTTGTTTGCGAGCATTTCAAGGGTTAACAACTCGTAAGTGTTAAAGACAACTATCTTATAACTTTCATTATCGTTGATAGACTGTGATTTTACTGTTATAATGATTAACTTTTTTCCGGGACTGATATTTGTTTTACCAGAGGAATTGTTTCATGTTTGGCAAGCAATAACTGCACTAAAAGTAAGTGGAAATTTTATATGCTTCTTAATAATGTTAGTTTCTACAATGCTTCGCCCTGGAAGCAAAGGGTTTAAAGGGTCTTTACCTTACTCTGGTTACTTTCTAAGTCTATGGTGCAAGTGTCTTAGAATTATTCATAGACCTGGTATGTTTTCTGAGAGGACTTGAAGAAGTTTTAGGAGAAAAACGAAAGGGGTTTTTGTTATGTAGCTTCACTAAAAATGCATCTACTTGCATACATACTCTCTGTTTTTCTTTCAAAAAATCAAGGATCTAGTTTCAGCAAATGCTCCAACCTAAGTTGCTATACCAACTAGTTGACTCATTTGAGATTGAAAATTGGGAGTTGAGATCTACTATCTGACTAACCTGTACTTAACTGTCTCCTAAGTCTGTTTAAAGTTGCGTTGCAATCATCAGGAGGAGATTTTACAGCTAAGCACTACGTAGAATGGAAAGAAGAATGAAAAAGATTAAGTTGTTTCCAATGGTCAGGAGACAAAAAGGGAAAGAACAACTTAAACCAGTTTCAATTTCTCTGAATTCTGGTGTCCTCTTCCCCTCTCACCATACCTCTGCCTAAAAAAATTTAAAGAAAAGAAGAGGAAGAATAGGATGAGAAAGTCCTAGTAACTCTTCATCTTTTTTCTTGTTTTCTATGCGGCTGATTCACTCTGTTTGTATTTTCCTCCAATAGTTATTGAACTGTTGTTCCTTTGTACCTCAGCTTTGCACTTTCTTTATATAAATTGTGGAGGGAGAGAAGAAAATGTTAATGGAACCACCTATGAAGCTGATTATTATGCAGCTGGGCCTTCAACATTTTTCCAAAGTACAAATACTTGGGCATTTAGCAACACCGGTATTTTCCTGGGTGATGATCGTCCAGATGACATCTATGTTTCGGAAAACATGCAACTTCTTATGATTGATGAACTGTACAGAACTGCTCGCCTTTCACCTAGCTCTTTGACTTACTATGCATTCTGTCTGGCAAATCGCACATACAACATAAGCCTCCATTTTGCCGAGATACAGATCGCTGATGGTCAAAATTTTAGCAGCTTAGGGAGGCGGATATTTGATGTGTACATTCAGGTATTTCAATACTATTCTGTTAAAAAAGTTCTGATGTAAGAGGAACTTCAAAACTTCACATTCTGATTGAATTGGAGCCAGTGAAGGAGCTTTGGCCAATCAACTTCAAATTCCTATTATCCATTAGATAGATGTGTAATTAAGAGCTGAACAAAGTAAACTTCACAACATGTGCCCTGATGGAAAGTTCGGTTATATGGAATGGATAATTGCAGGGAAAGCGCGTGCTGAAGGATTTCAATATTAAGGATGAAGCAGGTGGAGCTGCCAAACCAATTGTAAAAAATTTTACTGCAACTGTGGAAGATGGTACTTTGGAGATCCATTTGCGTTGGGCTGGAAAAGGGACAACTTCTATTCCCGTGAGAGGAGTTTATGGTCCTCTTATCTCAGCAATATCCATTTTTGATCCTGGTAGGTTGTCAATTGGATTAGTTATTCTTCTTGTCTCCCCTTGTGTCACACTGCCTCATCTTGTTCAAAACCTTGCTATTTTTATGGCTTTGTTACAAGTGCAATATAGCTAGGAAATTTCATTTTTAGATCATGCTACTTGTGTTCCTTACGATTTTAGGAATCTACATGCTGAAACTTTTTATTATCACGAAGAAAGAGAATGTGTTTATTTTTGTTTTATATAATGAATTCTAGTAGATTCATCTTCATAAATAACTTTTCTATAATTTTCTTCAACTAGGTTATATACCACCACCAGAAAATGGGGGTAGTAATGGCATCTCTATAGGCATGGTGGCTGGAATCGTGGCTGGAGCAGCATTTGCCATCTTCCTGCTTGGGGGTGTCCTTTGGTGGAATGGCTGTTTAAGACAGAAGAATACATTGGAACGAGGTATTTAGAGAGAAACCAATATATGCAGTGAACTTGTAGACATAATGTTTTAGTGTAAAATATTACTAGGAAATGACCCATGTCACCATTTTGGGACATTATCAGTGTTCATTACTCCATTCAGACCTGTCTTAAGACAATAGGATGCTTCTCATTTAGCTTAGCTACTTCTGCAGATCTAAAAGGAATAGAGTTGCAGACCAATTCTTTTACCTTAAGACAGATTAAAGCTGCCACAAACAACTTTGATGCTGCTAATAAGATTGGAGAAGGTGGTTTCGGTCCTGTTTACAAGGTATCACGTGAAACACATTTTTTCTTCTGATCACTTGCACTTGGACCGTTCTTACTGCAGCACTTCCTCCAGGTACTTTTTTGTTGGTTGAACCTGGTAATGTTTTTCAAATGCAGGGCATTCTTGCAGATGGCACAGTAATTGCTGTTAAGCAGCTATCCGCTAGATCAAAGCAAGGAAATCGTGAGTTTGTGACTGAGATTGGCATGATTTCAGCTCTACAACATCCTCATTTGGTGAAGCTGTATGGATGCTGCATTGAAGGAAATCAATTGCTGCTTATATACGAGTACTTGGAAAACAACAGCCTTGCTCGTGCATTGTTTGGTAGATCTCGTCCACATGATTTACTTTTACTCCCTTTGGTATTAATGACATCTATTTCATGCAAGCGGCACACACACACACCCATACACGTGAGAATGCTTATTATTAATAATATATGAAGAAAGGTATGATACTATATCTGAGCTTCTCTTTATTTGTATACTACAAGGCCCAGAAGAGTTTCAGTTGAAATTAGACTGGCCGACAAGACGGAAGATCTGCATTGGTATAGCAAGAGGTTTAGCTTATCTCCATGAAGAATCAAGGTTGAAGGTTGTCCATAGAGACATTAAGGCCACCAATGTGTTGCTTGATAAGAATCTAAACCCTAAAATATCTGACTTTGGTTTGGCCAAGCTTGATGAAGAGGATAATACCCACATAAGCACCCGAGTTGCTGGAACTTAGTAAGTATCACTGTTCAGATTGGTTGTCAATGTGTTTCTTTTCTTCACTTATATGCTTTTTCTTTTTTCTCATGTGCCAATGAATGATAGAAAATTTCCCATAAGATAAATATGCACAGAGACAGAGATTTACTTCTCTGCAATTTTCTTCTTTTTTTGTTTGAAAGGCTGCTTCTCTACATTCTCAATTTCACTCTTACAAATGTTTTGACAGTACATAAATTTCTAGGTTAGGTGGTTTCCAATGCAGCTTGACGCAGTGTGCTTATGATTCCACGAATATAAATGTTATATGTCAGCAGTGCTTGCTGCTTGAAATCTATAAACATGCTTAACACCAAAAAAAAAAGGAAGCTGTATTTAATTAATTTTATTAACTTTTCAGTGGCTATATGGCTCCTGAATATGCAATGCATGGTCGTTTATCTGACAAAGCAGATGTATATAGTTTTGGGATTGTGGCGCTTGAAATTGTTAGTGGCAGGTGCAACACTAAAAGCCGATCGAAGGAAGAATCTTTCTATCTCCTTGATTGGGTAACTGCTCTTATTCTTTCTTCTGTTTTTTTCCATGTTGTGATGTCTTACCGGTTTTTTTTTTTTTAGGGGGGGTGGGGGAGGGAATGTCTTATCAAAATTAAATGGAAGAGGCTGTAGGATTGAGTTATTAAATATAAGATGCTGCATAACCCTTTAATGAGGGAATGCTTACTCTTCTAAGATTGCAGGACGGACACATTGATGTTTCATTCCTATTATAGCAATTGGATCTTAGGCATTGGTCAGTTTTGAGTGTACTATTTTCTGGAATGAATCTTAATGTGGCAATGGAATTTTGTGTATCTAGGCTCATATTTTGAAGGAGAAAGGGAACTTGTTGGATTTAGTCGACCCAAGGATAGGCTCTGAGTGCAACATAGAAGAGGTGATGGCAATGATAAATGTAGCTCTCCTATGCACAAATCTTACTGCTGCAGCTAGGCCTTCCATGTCTTCTGTGGTGAGCATGCTTGAAGGCAGGGCTGCTATTTCTGAGTTTATAGATTCAAGTTTTTCTGCAAAAGAAATGAATGCTGAAGCAATGAAAAAGTTGTACCTGCAACTTGAACAAAATGATGCAGATAATAGCCAGACAAAGAGTATGTTAGCAGATGGGCCATGGACTTCCTCTTCTACATCTGCTGCTGATCTCTATCCAGTCAATTTGACTTCTGGTTATTGGCAAAATAGAGATTCGACAAACTACGTACAGTGACATGATTAGCTGTCAGAACACCTTAACTAGGAAAGGTTTTTTTTTTTTTAAGGAAAGGTACAATGAACATTTTTCTTGTTTGATGTGATTACTTTGAAGGTGCATTTGCAAAGATTTATTAGTGTGATGTGATAATTGTATTTTTTCAAGAGAATATAAATGAAACACAATTTTGTTTTTTGATTGAATCTGTTTTTCCTTTCCAAAACCATGATTTCTTGTCCTTATTTTGTTTCAAAATTCAGAAAGGGTAGTGAGAAAACATAGCAACAGTATCAGCAAGATGAGGATTGCTATAAGCCATAGCGAATAGTTGGCAGCTGGTCTTAATCAATTCTAGAGATTATGGTTGTTAATTTTTGCATGCTTAGCATTCTTCTTTTAAACTTCTTGATGCAATATACTAAGCAAGAATTCTATACCAGTTTCTGCCATCCACAGTGGTGGTAAAGGCAATCTGCCTACACTGACAACAATTTGAACATCTAGTGCAAAGCACTGTTATATTGTTGAACAGCACTGTCGAGTTCCTGTCTGAGAAATTTCAGGAAGTTTCAACCTCGCCAGAATATGGAGAAACCTGGTAAAAGTGGATTGATACAGCAAGATTTTCTATTAACTAGTAGTAAGGAAAAGACCTTGATCGCAACCATGGGCTGACCCAGTAAGAGTCCCATTAACCCAAAACAACAAACAAAGCGGCAAACTGACAACCCATTTAGGCCCATGAGACATTAACTCAGACCCGTCCCGCGATTTTTCCAATTCCCGAATTCAAAGAGATAAAGATGATGATGGTGGTGAAGACGAAAGCGTTCAAGTGATCGAACATGTTCATGTCACGAAACCTAATTCAAAACCCACCCGCGCCCCTAGTCTTCCTCTGTCGTGACCACGATGACTTCCACGTCATCTCTTCCAACGATCACGCAATCTCCTTTTTTTTTCCCGCCATTCTCATTTTACACAAATATCTGAAATTATTTTTAGATCAATTTCCTGCGTATCAGGAGATTTTTGAATGATCTGTTTCTGAATGTATTGTTGCTTCAGATTTACGGTGGTTTTATTCATAAGAAATCTTATTATTAAATTTGGAATAATAATTCCTTGTTTGTACTGAAATCGGAATACTTGGTAGATATTTACTTTTGGACAAAAAAGCTCTGAGATATTATAGAACCCAAATTCTACAAGCTACAGACATTCCTAAACCCTCCATGATTCGTATGGGATGACTTTATATATAACCCACTCCAGTGATCGGCGTTGCGAAGGGTATAATATTACATTCTGAAGTGGAAAAATCTCAAGAGAGTTTTCAAGAATCTATTGCTTTCGTTCCTTCTTCTTTTGCTTTGCTTGGGGCTCTGATTGTTTCTCGAGTCGTAGGGTTTCCATCGTTATATACAGCATGAGTAGTACGAAGTCTGGTTCAAAAGTAGTAACAACAGGATATTCATTGACGAAAGATCTGACTATGGATTGGATCAAACTGAAAACCCTTGGCGAGGGATGTTTTTCAGTTGTGGATTTAGTGAAGATAATAAAGCCTATGTCTTGTATACTTGCTGTTAAATCTTCTCCTTTCTCCTGCCCCTCACTTTCCAAGGAATACAAGATCCTTCAACAGTTTCTTGGTTGCCCGTATATTGTTCAATGCTACGGTGCTATGATGAGCCTTGGATATTCGGAGCCTTACTTCAACTTGTTTGTTGAATATGCTCCTGACGGGAATCTTCTCAATTTGATCCAGAAATTTGGCGGTAAAATACCAGAATCTGACGTGAGGTGTTATATCAGGATGATACTTGGAGGGCTTTGTGATATTCATAAGAGAGGTTACGTCCATTGTGATCTCAAACCAGAAAACGTCCTTGTTTATCCTTCCAATCAATACGGTTTGTTTACTTTGAAGATCGGTGATTTTGGCTTAGCCAAAGAACTTGAACAAATTGATCCGCCAAAGGCGACACCTGATCCCTTGCCTAGGTTTCGAGGTACGCCAGCATACATGCCACCAGAATCTCTCAGGGATGGGAAAATCACTGCTTCTATGGACATATGGTCGCTGGGATGTGTTGTTCTTGAGATGGTGACTGGAACACGGCCATGGACATCTACCAGGAATCCAAAGGATTTGGCGAAGAAGATTGCTTTGACAAACGATTTGCCATATATTATACCGGACAACATGTCCAAGGAAGGGAAAGATTTCTTGATGAAGTGCTTTGCTAGGGATCCCAGTGAACGTTGGACTGCCGACATGCTGATAAATCATCCTTTTCTCATTCCGGACTCTACCTTATTGGCTCCACACAGAAGTTTTCTCCAAGATCCTTTGGCAGATACTTCAAGTTGTTCGGAGGGACAAGCTTCGTTTTCCAGCATACGTGCACTCTTTTAAAGCTTTTTTCATTTTTGCGCATGTATGTCCAATTAAGAAATTGGGAGGAATTCTCACTCACTCAAACTTTGGTGAGGAGGAAATATTTCAGAATCGTAAGAGTGGTTGTATCTGCATATTTCAGTTTGAACTTTTATCCTTATCAATGCTTGATTAATGAGAGCATTCTTATGAAATTTGCTTAATTGCTCATGCCTCATGGGGATGTAGTCATCAGGATTGCAAAGATTCTACCATCTGAACGCCTAGTTTTTTGCATAAAAAATTAAATTATATTTATGTGATCATGCATTTGTTAAACCTTGGTACCTGGACATGTAGATACCAAACTAAACAAACATTTGACTAAGCAATGACCACGACAGTATACAAAATCTCAGACAAAGCATTGATATAATTTTTGCTTTGGGACAAATAATTCTTGCTATCATCATTCAGAATGTCTACTAAACCATATAGATTATAAGCATTGTATTAAACCATATAAGTTATGTATGGAAAAGATATTATCTCCTTTGTCCTTTTTCTCTGTACTAGCGCCAAAGTCTATAGCAACCATTCTCATACTATGAATATTTATATTTACCACTAATGAAAAAAACATGTTAGAATGATAGGTAATACCATGCTGATGAGGTTCTTCTTCTTCTACTTACTCATGCTCGGGAAAATTGTCGAGACGTTGGTCCAGAATTTTATGCTCTTTCGATTGTTATTTAGGAAAGCTGGCATCCTGTTATGTGCTTGTGCCATAGAGCTTAATGAGTGATATCTGTATAGGTGCCTCCTTTGGGTTTGTTTAGGCTTGTGGTCTTGCATGATGGCTGCGATTTTTGTTTTTGCAGCATTGATTTTTGTTTTCGTTGTGCAGCGTTTGGGGCATGTAATTGTACAAGGAGTCTTGTAATCGTACAAGAAGCTTTATTGTCCAAGTAAGATTATCAATTGTGGAGAATAAAAAATTATCAATCAGGAATTTAATGTTAATTCAATTAGAAAATATTATAATTTTAATAGTCTCTCTCTCACACACACACATATAAACAAAATTAATAATTTTACAAGTTTGTTTATCCTGTTTAGTTAAAATAGCACTACATATGATATAACCAAATATAAACTTATTTTTATAAGTTTTTGCATTTCACTGACAATGTATATATTCATTAATTTGTCTCTATTTTTTACTTTATTTTTATTGTCAAAGGAAGAAAAATTCAAAACCGACTCTTAGACCAGGAGACTTATGATTAAGTCTAACGTTTAGATGCATAATTTTCTTTGTTAATTGACAAAAACAAACGTTATAATTACTGAAGACCAATTTTTACATTTTTCATCCCTTAATATATATATGAAAAATTCTTGTGGACAACTACATTTAAACAGAAGTTATATAGTTTTTTTCAGCGGAAAGTTTATTGACTCTAAACTCACAAATATTCGTATGTTCTCAATGAACAATTTATAATTGATGCATTAATTATTAATTATTAATCCAAAAAGTTTTTATCAAACAAAAGCAAATCCTTTCTTCTATAAATTAATAGACAGGTGTTGATGCAAGTAACATTTTTTTAGTCAATCAAATAGATTCATTTAATTACGTATTGAAAATTTGATAAAAGTCAGGTCTATATCCTAATTAAACAGATCGAAAAGCAGGTTTAGCAGCATCTCAACGAGAGAGTGTTTGAATTCCTTACAAAACAAAGTAAAGGGAAGTCATTTAACCCCATAATCAAGCACAAACCACATTCAAAACATAAAACTAGCAATATCAAGATCATATTAAAGTCACACCGAAACAGAGTATAAACTAAACATAAAACTCATATACAAGTAAACTTTTTCCTTTTGAAACGTAGGTATTTTCAATAATCAATCAGGGAGTTGGATGTTCCCTTTAACTATAAACAAAACCGAAGCCCGAACTTTTCGGTAGCTATAACATGGACCCTATCATCATAACAAGCCTAAAGGAGGGCAACATTTGCTATACACAGGACAAAAACAGAGACAAGCACCCTGGAAACCGAAAGCACGGCTCAACCTAGATTAACTATGAGTCAACCAGGCTTAAAATAATATTAGCCCATATACAATAGAATAATCAACAAGCTCAAAAATTCCTTCGGCCACAGTGTTAACTGACACCAGCATCCACTTCACCTCAGTAGTCTCATAAAATCATGCTCCCAACACGATGGTAATTGTAGCAGGTAATAAATCCCAAAGCAAAGCCACGAAAGCAAACAAAAGTTACATAAAGGAAGGGCATCACCTCGACCAACACCATTTGGAAAAGGAACTTAAAATAAGGAACAAGGGCGCGAATACCAGCATGACACAATTAAATCCACTGGAGGGGGACCATCTGATTATTGACTCCCAACTATTTCCCAATGGTGTCGTAGGTTGATCCAAACTCCCATACACCAGCATCTCTTCATTAAAAATTTTCAGCAGCTTATAATTTCTTCTAACTCCTGTTTTGGCTAGTGAATCAGCCTCTGAATTCGCTTTCCTTACTTTTGGTGTTGAAAGTCTCAACGTGGAGCAGCCACTTTCGAACTCTCCAAGGTGCACCTTTGGGATTCTTAATCCAAGATACAGCATTAAGTGAATTGCTTTCAATCTCAAGCTTGAAGTTGTACCCCCACTCTAATGCCGCAAAAATATGGAACGTTTCCCTTATTGCCAGTAGCTCCGCAAGATTAGAGTCACTGTTTCCTATTGACCAGCTCTAATTGTACCTTGTTCATCTCGTAGTGTTCCACCAATCCATGCCCTCTCGGGTTCTATTTGCAGCACCACCGATATTAAATTTTAGGACAAATACTCTCGCCTCTTAAACTTTAGTTATAATTCCATGCATATTTATTAATTTTTAAAATAAATAATCTGTTTTAAAAAAATATTTTTTATTAGACACATAAATCTAGTAATTAGTCAATTGTTAATATTTTTATTAATTTGATGACACGAGAATATTAAAAAATAATTTTACCTTCATTAATTTTAAAAATTACTATTAGATAAATTATAATTTCTTATTTTTAAAAATTTTTTCTTTTTTACAAAAAAAAAAAAAAAATTCTCTTAGGCCACCTCGGAGTCCGTGGCATCTGGTGCTCCCCACGAGAAGGGAGCCCGATCTGATGTGTGCTCCCATGCGAAGGAGCACCAGCCCTTCCCCTGGGGAGCACTGATCAGCTGCTCGCTCCCTTGAGAACATCAAATCAGTGCTCCCCTCCTTTGGGAGCATCGATTTTGGGGAGCACCGACTGTGGATGGTCAGCCGGTGAATGGGAGCGTTCAGCGTTGCTATGCAGTCACATTGTTTGAGAGAAAAAAAAAAAAAAAGTATTTCAATTTTTTTATATTTTTTATTAATGATGTTTATACATTTGAATCTCATTGTTTATTTTAAAAATTAATTAGACCGTGTAAAATTATAATTAAAAATTATAAACGTGAAAGTATTTTAGCTTAAACTTTATCCACCCATCAGCTAAAGCAATCCAAATAGTGCTCGATCTAGTTTCCTTCTCTTTTTGCGGTATAGTCATCTTCATGGGGAACCTATAAATATCCAGCGTGGAGTCAGCATCATTGCCCCATTTTGCTTTAATCCACGTTCCCACTCGTAATTTGATGAGGTTATAGAATCCCAATTTTGACCTTGAAATGTCATTTCATTTCAGAATAGCTAAATGGACCATATCATCGCAAAGAAAGCTATTATCCAGATTTTCTTTACATTCTCATTTAGGGGGACCAATATCCATGACGTGAGGAAGGACTTAGCATTATTAGGAGCCACCCACTTGACATTCCATTCATTACACCATAAGGCCCGTCGTTTCCATGTTTCAAGACAACCAAAGAACAAATGGCCAATCTTTTCCTTATCAGCTCTACAAAAAGGGCAAGTACCATTTCTACACCTGTAAGACCTCTACGGACAAGTTCCCATTTCACAGCAATCTTTCCCAAGATGAACTGCCAGCAGAATACCTCCACTCTATGTGGTGCATATCCTTTCCATATCTCCCCGTATACAACCAATTACCATACACAAAAGGAGCATAACCTTGTTGTATAAGTTCAAAGCTCATATAGAAGAAAGTTTTGCTTTACTAATGTTAGTTAGTATTAAAACGTGAAATGCAAGGGTAAGCTTGTGACATTGATGCGAGGCCACACAACAGTTTGTGTGGAAATTTTGTAGCAGAAACAAAAGAAAATAAGAGCAAAATGCAGTTATTATGAACCCAAAAGGCCAAAAGCCAATCAGTGTTGACGACTTTAGATTTGTAGCCAAATGGAACACCCAATTGAAATAATATATGAACCTAACTTTTTTATGACAGCTCCAATACAATATGGAAACGTGGATAATAATTTTTTTTTGGTATTGTTTTTGAGTCAATTTGATTGATCAAGGAATATATATTGTCATTTAAAGTATATTTATTGGCATAACTATATGTAATAAAAAATTTTCTTCATGTTAATGTAATAATAAAGAGTTATTAATTACTAATTAGATGAAGCCCATGAAACATAAAGGCATTCAAGAGAATTGTAAAATTATTACAATTAACATAAAGACCTTCAAGAGAATTGTAAAATTATTACAATTATGAAATCAGTATGTATCAAAACTATGTTCTAAAAATTGTTCTTGGTTATTGTATTATTAAGACAAGACATTGGCAATGCTTAAAGACTACTACATGTTAAGCCACTTTGCTTGAGAAGTATGCAATCAATTTCATAGATTGAAGTATATGAGATGCTAGACAATAACATGTGAGTGTTTGTTAAGGAACAAGATTACTAAATATGATCCACTATGAGAACTCCATTTAGTATTTCACTTAAGTGTCTATGGAATATATTCTCATGTTATATTCGTGTAACTAGTCATCAGACTTAAGACATCAGGTCATTTTGTATGGGGAATGACATATTTTGATTAAACTCTTATGGGT